TATATATATATATATATATATATATATATATATATATATATATATATATATATATATATATATATAGATAAAGAAGTGACAAGATAGTAGCATTATGATCCTAGTATAGTGGTCCAGCCACCTGCCTTGCACTGAAAGGACGTTTCTTCATGTCTTATTTTCTAGTACTCCCGAATAATTTTTTTATGAATTACTGTCTACTGAAATTAGTAATTTAATATCTCATATTTTTGGCCCAGTGATTGAAAGCCATCAGATGCAGGCCTCTTGTTAACCTTCAAGATAAAGCTCCTTTTCATCTTCTGATTTCTAGTAAATTGTCAAGACTAACAAGTCCACTACGACTACGCCCATTTATTCAAGAATGAAATGTACCAAGTGGTTTCGTAAAATAGTCTAGGAAGGCAACAAAATGACCAATTCCCACAATGCTAACCTCCAGCCGATGGATGGCCATTCTTTTTGGCATATCCCACCATGGCCAGTTTGTTCGGCGTCAGAGACTCTCCACTCGACGGCATCTGATCTGCGATTGGCTCCGAGCCAGCAATCAGGCCAGTCGACATTAACATCTCCTCGGCACTGTTTGTGGGCCGGCCACCAGCAGTCGTGAGGCCAGCTGCGTTTGCCGATGCGTCAGGCGACGGAGCAGCAGCCGAAGCGGTGGGGAGGTATTGAATAGTGTGTGGAGTACGCGGTGTAATTTGGACACTCGCGTTGCCAAGGCCGCCCGCAGTAACCGTACCGTTGTTTGCAGTACCACCACCGCAACCAACTACTCCTGTTACTGCCACTGTTGCCGTTGGTGTTGCTGTTGTCGTTGCAGTTCCCATCCCCAGTCCTCCAGTCCCAGCAACACCACCTCCTCCAGAGATGCAGGCACTGGCCGCAGCGGAGGTCGAGGAAGAAGAGGCCGGTGAAGGTGAGGCGGCCGGTGGTCCCGACGAGGAATGGTAATTGCCCAACTCCGGCTTCATCAGTTCCCCGCCGGGCGGCGCGAGCTGGCCGGCCGAGACCGACAAAGCGGGAGGCATGTGACAAGCGCCGGGATGGCCCGAGCCTTGAGAGTGGTAGGCAGACTGATGGAAGGTGTGAGGAGACGAGCCCGGCTGTTGCTGTGGCCCTGGGGCACAGGCGGCGGGAGGCGGCGGAGGCTGGTTGGAGGGTTGCGCTAGTCCGGGAGCTTGCGCAAAGTGGATCTGCATCTGGCCACTGGAGCCGGAGCTGTTCGGACCACTCACGTGTTGGTAGTTGAGCTGTTGCACGTTGACACGAGCGTTCACGAAGGTGTTGTTCACCTGACAAGTAGAAAGATCAAAAGGTCCAGATTAAAGACAGTTTCACGTCTATAAAATAGAGAGTACGTATGACATGTATTCATCCTATTCCATTGTTAAGGCGATGAAAGACTGGTAGTTGAATTTTCCCATATTTAGTTAAATGGAACTTACGTTTTCATTGAATGTCACAAATAACCTTGCTTCTCAAAAATTATTCTCCTTCAGGAGGCAATGAACTGTAGTTTCGACCTCGCTTAGTTGGCGATGAGATCCAGGCGAGGTAGAAGCTGCAATTCACCCCGGCCGAGAAGCAAGATCACGTGCGAAATTCAACGAAAACATGAGGCCTAGTAATATGAAATAAAATGTAGGCATTTTATATGCAACACTGTTGCCTCCAAAAAGATTTACAAAGAGGCAGTCAATGCAACTCATGCTTATCAGTTCAACTAACAGACGAGAATAGAGGAACAAAAGAGTCTACAAACGGCCGAATCATGGCTAGAAAGGGGCGAAAATAATAAATAAGATCCAAAGTCAATCTATCAAATGCATCACCACTAGATGCATTCTTGTACTGAGTGTCTGGAGGAATTATTTTTCTCACCCTCCTTTGCGAGAATATCCTCCAGCCTACATCTCACCACTAACAGACCTGGTAACAACCACATTGTGAAAGTGCTTTTGGCTAGACAAGCAATACGAACAAATGAGTAGCCTGCTATGATGATGCTGTTTGTTGTCTGTGCACATCAGACAAGCATGTGAAACCTCAAATCTGTGGTTTCCATCACTGAAAGATAGCTCAGATGCAAAAACGAGGCAAAATGTGCCAGTTGTACAGCGGCGTGTATTACACTTCTTGAAGGGATATGCTTTTCAATGACCCTTTAGAGTAGCTGCAGCAATCCGAACTGGTGGCGAATATTGACCAACTACACGAGCCCGGCTAAAAACAACTCCCCGTATGATTTATTGGCAAAAAACGACTGCATGAAAGCTCTTGCTAACTATGGACTGTGGGCTGTATGCTGTGTACAACTCAGTAATGGAGATTGTGTCCTCAGTTTAGGCGTATGCTTTGCAGTTGCACTTTTAGCCCGACCGAGTGGAGCAGAATGATGCCAGTGCAAGTCGCTCATTTTGAGAGAACTAAGAGAACAAGAGGATATATTAAAAGAAAAGCTGCAAAGCCAAAGATAGATGTCCTACGGACAGAACAACTGGCATTGAAAAGGCATGCGATAGGAGGATAATAAATTTTGAAATATTGCTTAAAGGTAAAAGTGATTATAACAATAACAAACTGAATAATATATAGAAGTTGTTTGACCCTGTATTAGCAACTTGGTCATATTGGTAGGAAGATTTAGAGGAGCGTAACTAGTCCGGAGTCTATTGTATGCATAATTGTTTCCAGAGTCGGACCGTGGACGTGGTACATTCCCAGACGTTTCGCCGGCATCG